CAGTGAAGGCTCATAAATGAAGAATCAGACCCCTCAAATAACTTGAGTTGGACAAAAGTTTTGTAAAGTTAATTCAAAATCACGAATATGGATTGATTCAAGTAGTAAGCAACTTTCTATTGTTAAAGGAAAGTCTCGAGTTCGAGTTCTTATGTATGTAAAAAAATTATTGAGAGATTCACCCACCAAATTTAAATGTGGAACTTGAGTTGATATGCATTAATCAAGTCGAAGCCTTGAAACCAGAAGAACAACCTAAAAAAACTTTCTTCCAAATTTATAATTAGCCAAAATCCAACGTAATAGGTAATAAATTCACCTTTCGAGGGCATGAAAGAAAGAGATTTATATTTCATATTTTTTCATAAATAATGTTATTTAAATGATACTTACAAGTATATTATGTGAAGTGAGTTGTAGATATATACAATACGTATTAGATGGATCTCGAGATTAATATGAACGGTAGAACAAAGAAAATTTTAATCTTGCAAATCATAAGACAATGATTTTTGGTTTTATATCGCGACAAATTATAAGGTGATGATGAGATAAATATTCTTGATACAGATGGATACGAGGGAATATCTCTAATTTCATGAGCCCAATGGACGTCCCTAATTAAGAACAATGTCCAAAAATTAAACATTTTTATTAATGAGTGCATTTAGTTATTTATTAGAAATAGTAGTATTTAATAAAATTAGTATAATTATAAATATTGAAGAAAATTAACGTTAAAGAAAATCAAACATGTGAACTTAAAGAGAATGGGGCACCCTAATCGTGGCATCCTCGTGCCCAAAAGAAATGAATATATTTTCAATAAATATTCTATAATACCCCAAACATCGGATCAATGACTAAAGTGTAAGAATTTAACATTTAGTGGTTTAATTTTGGACTTATTTGGAAATTTTTGTTTAGGACATATTATCAAAGATTAAAGAATGGAAGGACATAATGGTCTTTTAGCATAAAATGAATTTAAAATTCATTTTTAAGGATATTTAACATGTGGGAAAAAGAAGAAATAGGATAGAAAAGCCTAGAAGCCTTCACCTTCACCTTCTCCTTCCTTTCCACCGTGAACCTCCATTGCTAATGTGAGTTATGTTTAAAATTGGTTGTTTCTTGAATTTTTGGTTGGTTTTGAATCTTTGGTTGGTATAGAAACTTAAGGAAGCTTAAAGATGAATAGAAACTAAGGGATTTAGGAATTAATTGTGAATTAGTAAAATGGTTTTTAAGAGAATTGATGAAATTTGATTAGTAATTGGATTTTAAAAGCATATTTGACTTGTCAAAGGTTTGAATAAGGAATTTGAAGTATTAGAAAGGATTGGAAACATGTTTGAGGATTGGGTATGATTTTTAGTTTTAAGTGTTCCATAGAGAAAATTGGATGTTAAAAGGGGATTAATGGATATAAGTTGGTTGTGATTAGTGTTAGTAAGTTTAGTAAGTTTAAAGGTTTAATTGGAGTTAAAAGTATGAGATTTAGGTGAATTTTGGGTAAAATTCGAAGTGAAATAGATGAATTATGGGTAAGGGTATCGGTATTGGAAGAATAATATTGATACTATAAGGTTAAATTGAAGGAAATTGTATGAATCAGATGAACATTGTCGATATTGATTGAAGTAGTATCGATACTGATGTGGAGATATCGATACCAAGAGTAAGGTACCGATACTGTAATTGAAGATGAAATTCCAGAATGCTAGAATGGTATCGATATTGAAGTAGGTATCGATACCCTATAAGATAAGTATCGGTACTGTGAATAGAGTATCAATACTATTCAATCTGAAATTTTAAATTAGGGGTTTTATTTCGTTTATGTAAATCCTATTTGGTTAGCCGTAAATTGAGATTTGGTATTTATCTTGGACATGTTGATGTGTAGATTTGGATCGAAAGCGTACCGAATGAATCGACGTAGTAAAGAGATTGAACGAAGGTTAAAAGGATTTTGTTTATGACTTACGTGAGGCAAAGGCGAGTGCAACTTATTTATTTTATATTAGATATGAGGACGACTTGCGATAAGCCAACCTCGAAGGTTTTCGATCGAAAACAATTTTATTTATTTTATGTAATATTTTTATGATGTTTTATATAAATTGTATTTCCGTAGTACTGTTTTGATTTTATTAGTATGTGAACATGTTATATATGAATGTGATCTACGTGAAAATGTTCTATGTGAATATGTTCTATGTGATTGTGTTTTATATGGATAAATGATACTTTGAATAATGTAATGTTAAATAATTATATGGTTAAAGCTCAAAGTATATGTTTTGAGAATTAGAGATATAGTTAGCATGCAAAGAGTCGAGGGTTCTACGCGGCCCTCCAGGACAATTCTAAGCGGTCATTCGGGATAAATATATGCGACACTTCGGTGCATATTCTACGTGACACTTCGGTGTAAATTCTACGCGGCAGTTTTGACTGCAATTATAGTGCACAACCTCAATGTACTCACATACCTTGAGTTCTCAGTGATATGCGTTGGGCTATTTAAACAAATTGATATGAATTGAACATTGTATAACATTATAAGCATGTTTATGAAATATTTATTGATTTCCATATGCAATGTTTCTTGAAAATGTTTAAGTAAATGCTTTATTGTTTTATTATGCTCATTATTGCCTCACTAAGTCAATGACTTAGCGTGTGAGTGTTTTCACACGTAAGTTCAAAGAGATCTGAGGAGTAAAGCTAGGAAATGACATCATACACTTGAAGACGATCATATCATAATGATTTGAATTGTAGGTGTTTTTTTATTTTGAAATTTTGTTGGCATGTATCATAAAGGTTTAAATCGTAATGCTCTGATCAGTTTTGTAAGCATACTATTTTAAGTTTATGTAAATATATTAAGTATTTAATTTCATTTTGAAATGGGTTGGAGGTGTTACACATTCTTTTAATTATTTCAATTTTTAAGGGATTTAAATTTTTAATACGATAACATCGTTACTGACGGCTGATATTTGAGCTAAGATATTGACAAATTTCTTGTCAAATGTGGTATTTGGTTATTCTCTCCAAATTTAAAGGTATGACCCCTCTTGATATCATTCTTATTTAATGTGTTTTTTATCCAATTATATAACGACATGTATCACTAGTAATATTGTAACAATGGAACATTAGAATTATAAAATTGAATTAAAATTAAGATTAAATTAATCAAATTTATAAATAAAGATGATGAAATATATAATTATATCAATTTTATTAACTATCGCATCAGTCATTTTATTAAATGATGATTGTAATATATCATTAAATTATTAAATAATCTTATTGATCAATAATTAGATTAAAATTTATAATAGTAATATTAATTAATGAATTATATCTTCCGAAGTTGATTACAATAATTTGATAATATTATTACAAAGGGAAAGTTAGAAACAATAAACTGATTAATGTCTGAGAATGAGCATCGCCCCTCCCCATGCATTGTTACCTTCCTTTTTCACTTATACGTAAAGCAATCAATATATATCACTATTAAAATAGAACATTCCTATACAAGAACAAAAAAAACAAAAAATAAACAGTGCGGTTCTAAAAGCAACCGAAGTAACCAGAAGTAGGCCTATAAATGAATTGAACGTTCAACAAACTGTTCATGAATCGTGCGGCGGGAAGTTCGTTTATGTGCGTTTATTTATTAAATGAACGAACATGAACAAGATTTTTTGTTCGTTTAATTAAATGAACAAACATGAACATAGGTCTCGTTCGTTCATTTACGTTCGTGAACGTTCGGTTATGTTCGTTTGGTTATGTTCGTTTATGTTCGTTCGATTTATGTTCGTTTATGTTCATTCATTTATGTTTAACACAATCTTCTTAAATCAATTTTGGTGACCAATTTGTAAGTATCTTAAAAATATTAATCTGATATTCTGATGACCAACTCCATAATTAACCTAATTTTATTTGGAGATTAAATCCAATATGTTAACCTGTGAGGCACCTCGCACTTATATTCATTTTCCCCTTTTTTCCCAAACCTTATTGTTCACTGGAGAGTGGAGACGATCTCTGAAAGATTCAAAACAAGTTATATTATAGTGCAATATGAAGTTTTACAGGTCTGTTTTCATCTCTTTCTCTGTTTTATTTGACTTAATAGTTGATATGTAAAGTTATTGTGGGTATCTTCATATCTAAAACTCAAGAAAACATAATACTTCTTTCTAGAAATAAATGAGAAGATAAAGGTAAAAATCGGAAGTATATGAGCATCAGTAAAAAAAATATATATAGAATTTGCCAGAAAACAAAACAAAGGTTTCTATGCAATTTCTGAAAAAGAGTGTAATAGCGGAAAATGATTGTTCATATGTAAACATGGAACACTAAGATAAATGTTATAGCGTTAAATTAAAGTCGTGTGAATCATTTAATATCTTTAAAAAATCGATCGAAATATTTGATATCTTCAAATATTTCATCACTGCTAATAAGCTCTTACGCTATTTATCACTGTAGATTTGGTTGATTTACATTGTCGACTATTTTTCATGAAAGAACAATGGAAGGTAGGGTCTCCAACATTTATGTTCGTTTATGTTCGTGTTCATTTATGTTCGTGTTCGTTTATTTGAACATGAACAAGTTATATTCCTTAATAAACGAACATGAACAAAAAAAATTTTGTTCGTTTATGTTCGTGTTCGTTTATGTTCGTTTATTTATTAAATGAACGAACATGAACATACCTTCGTTCGTGTGCGTTCGGTTCGTTTACAGGCCTAACCAGAAGAGCCCTGGTTGATCATCTCAAATAAATATTAATGTTAACCCCCAGATTCCATTAAAACCATATATGAGCTTGTTTTTTTACTACCAATCTCACATGTTGTCTCCAGTTCCATCGTTTTCGTATCTTGGATGGTTTTCCAGGATTTTGTCTCCCAACTCTTTGACTGCGACAGCCGAAGACATAAAAAGCTCAAAAAGAAGCAACTACAGGTATTCTATTGTAATCAAACTTTCCAGTTTCGACTCTTTTGAGTTTGATTTAATGTCTGTTGTTGTTTGTTGCAGACGGTGGAGATAAAAGTGAAGATGGACTGCGAGGGATGCGAGAGGAGGGTGAATAAATCGGTGGAGGGCATGAAAGGGGTGACGCAAGTGGAAGTGGACCCCAAGCAAAGCAAGCTCACGGTTGTCGGCTACGTGGATCCCGACAAGGTCCTTGAGCGGGTCCGGTACCAGACGGGAAAGAAAGTTGAGTTCTGGCCTTACGTGCCTTACGATGTGGTGCCTCACCCTTACGCACCGGGGGCTTACGACAAGAAGGCACCGGCGGGGTATGTCCGGAATGTGGTCCAAGATCCGGAAGCTGGTCAGCTCGCCAGGGCCACCTCCTTTGAAGTCAAGTACACCACTGCTTTCAGTGATGAGAACCCAAATGCTTGTATTATCATGTGAAAATTATTGTGAATTCCTCTCATCCCTAACTCGAATTCCACCTAAACTTATATTTTAACTTCTTCAATTTATTTTTTTATCCATGTAAGGTAAATAAAAAAATAATATCTGATTAATAATAATTTTTAACTATTTGATGTTAATCACTCGTATTTAGAAACAAAACTAAAAAATTATTATAACAGAAGTTAAAATATTTTTTATTTTTTATAAATATAATTTTTTAAAACTAAAGAGATTAGATAATTTTTTATTTATTTTTTAAAAAGTATATATTTTTAATATTAATTAATATATTAAAAAAATAATTGGCGGGACTCAAGGTTCCCTTGATCCCACAATATTTCGCCAATGCTTGTATTCCTAATGTTGCTGATGTTAGAATAAGATGAGACGATATAAAATTATATTCATATATATTTCATCACCTGTAATAAATATAATTTTATTCCCATTTTCAACTCACCGCCTACAAAATATATATCCATCCTCGATCCGTCTACCAACCTTCCTAATTTTAACATAATAAAATAAATCCTAATTTATACCGAAATATTATGTTGGGTAGTATCATGCTACGAATAACCCGTGATTGGGTAGCTTCTCTTCGTTTCCAAACATGCCTTGAAACGGCTTCACCTAAAACGACAGCGTTTCAGTAGTAACTCTCGAAAAGAAAAGGTCAAATCCTCTATAAATACCCCCTCTTTGCCTACCAAGGGACATTTGGATCCAAAGTTCCCTCCTCTCTGTTTTTGGATCTAAAGAGCGTCTCCTCTCTCAAACCCTAATCTGAGAATAGCCTCTCTTTTAATTAGCTTTTCATTCTTCATTAACTTTCGTTTTTGGAGGGATAAGCTGAAGGTCTTCCTTAAAACGCCCAAGATTTTACAGCTACAATTTTCTTTTTCTTAATACGACCCCGATCTAGGGTTTCGTTTTCGTTTTCCCATTTCGGTTTCATATTATTCGGTTGTTGCTGAATCAAACAGATGTCTCGGTGTTTTCCGTATCCTCCCCCGGGGTACGTAAAGAACGGAATCCGCGATGAGGCACTGATTGAATCGATTAAGGTTTGTTGAGCAAATCCCCAATCGAATGCACAGCTTTTTGGAGGGGTTTTCACCTTTTCTGCTCGACTGATATAATTCGCTGTCCTCAATGCTTTGCTCTTGTTTGTATAGCAAAGGGACGAGAAAAAATATATTTGGTGTCAGAGAGCTGAGTGTTAGTAAGAGCCTTAATTCCTAATTAACATATGTTGCATATTATGGCTATAAAAGTTGTGAGGAGATTGGATAGAGAATCAAGCAATTTCATAGTAACCGTTTCCTTACCGGCCATGCCATTTGTTCGTTTTCTGGATTTCTTGTAAAATAAATGGAGAGTTGTTTTTAGTAATGTTAAAGTTTAACTATGGCGAATTGAACCCAGATAATTCAAGAAATGAAATGATGCCTATTGTTATCTCTTCATTTGTGTATCTGAATGGTAGAGAGGCAGCAATTGTTGTTAGTTCAGTATCTAAAGGAACAATGTGAATGTGTGCTGAAGTATATTCATGTATGAAAAGAATTATGGAAGTTCTATTGAAGCTTAAAATTGAATTGTTAAGACACTAACTAGAATTTAGTGAAATTTTATTGGCCTCTTAATTAAAAAAACATGTAGAAGTGTTGCTTGAAAATGGAACCTAACTTTTACGAGAGCTGCAAAGTTTGCATTGGAGAATGGAAGAAAGAATCATGCAAGTTTTATAATGGGACTAGTTCAATCAAATGTGAAGTTTACAGTCATTTGTTATTAGTAAACTTTACTACATAGTAAGAGGGAACATTTCATTTGTAATTGTTCTTGCTGAAGTTGGTTCAAGGATTGCTTGTGTTACCGTAATGTTGTTTTTCCTGTTTGTATTTGCTTCCCCTGTATGTTCATAAACTGACTCTTTCTCTTGTAATTTGTAGATTAAAAGAGAAGAAGAGAAGGCCAAGAAGGAAAGGAAGAAAGAAAAGAAAGAGAAGAAAGAGAAAAAACGGGAGAAGAAAGAAAGAGACAATGCCCTGGACAGTGGAGAAACCAAAAGTAAAAAGCATGGTCATAAGAAAAGGCATAAAGACGAGAGGAGCCAAGAAGGTCAAAAAGGAGGAGACTATCAAAAGAGAAGAGAAAATGAAGTTGAATGTTATGAGAAGAGTACGCTTACTGAAGAACATGGTCATGGAGTGGGACCCCAGAACTCCTCCGATAGCACCCTTAACAGCAGTAAAAGACAGAAGCTGAGCTTGCCCCCTGACAGTGGGCATAATTCTGGTGAGTGTGTTTGTATCTCTTCCTTACCTGGGAGAGGCTGTTTACTTGTTGGGTTTGTTTGCTTCACATGGGCACTGATTCTGTGTATTCGAATTGTTATTATTAATGTGAAGAAAGCATTATCCGGATTCGGTTGCCTTCTCAAAGGCATAAAGATCCTGAAGTGCTACCCACCAAGGAGCAGCCTTACTCTACCTCAGGAAAGATTGACGTGGCCTTTGTTCAAGGGACGCATGGGTTGCCTTCTCAAAGGCATAAAGATCCTGAAGTGCTACCCACCAAGGAGCAGCCTTGTTCTACCTCAGGAAAGATTGATGAGGCCTTTGTCCAAGAGATGCATGGGATGCCTTCTCAAAGGCATAAAGATCCTGAAGTGCTACCCACCAAGGAGCAGCCTTGCTCCACCTCAGGAAAGATTGATGAGGCCTTTGTTCAAGGGACGCATGAGCATGTTCCTAGACCAGGCAGAGAACTGGAAGAACATTCTTGTTCTACAGCCAATATTAGATTCCCGGAGTTAACACCCAAGCTCAGCAAAGAAACACCTTTCTTCTCTTCTGGTGCACCAGAAAGTGTTGCTCGTAGTGCTGAGGCATCATTGCCAACAAGCTTGTGCAGCAGTTGCTCTCCTACACTAGCTTTAGGTTACAAAAATCTCGTGGAGGATTGGGTTGTGCCTACACTGCAGACTGAGTTAGCCGGTTTTGCTGACGAGGACTGGCTGTTTCAGAGGAAGCAAAATGTCGACCATGCGATTAAAAGCAGCGAAGATGGAAATATTGGCACGTGTCAAATGAACTCAACAAGTTGGCCACATGCCCGCTTTTTGCCTGAGGCTGATATATATGCTTTACCTTTCACGGTACCGTTATGAACTAAATGTGCCGAACCAAGAAAAAGGCATGCATGGTGTGAGAACTAGAAAACGGTTAAACCTTTTGTTCTTGGTGCTGAAAGTGTGAAGCGTTTGTTGCCAGCATTTCAGCTCCTTCCGTTTACGTCTGGGATTAGGACTCTGAGGACAAATTTTGTGCGGCCACCCTTACTGGAAAAATGGTTACTGAGGCTTTTCTTTCAACCCTTATCGGTGAGAAAGAAAAAATATATCATTGATGTATTACAAAATTCAATTCCTTCCAGTAATATGGGTATTACCCATTGTTCATGTGGTCATGTTGCCATTCCATTACTATTTTCTTGCATTTCCGTGTCATTGCTCACGGAAGTAAAAAAATACTTGAACAATTGAGTTCGGATTATAGGACTTATGGTCCTTTGCTTATTGATTCGCCATTGCTAACACGAAATAAATGGTCTACTCGAAAGATAAAGATAAAATAAGTTTGTTCAGATTTATTTCAGCTTTTTGGTGCCCGGTGATTATAATGTGGTTGACCCACAGGTCTACTGGAAACAAACATGTTGCATTGCAAGAAACTAAGCACAACCCCCCACCCAACAAACATGCCAATGCTTTTCTAAAACCCAATAACAAGCAATGAATTTAACTGTCCGAGCAGTTTTACTAACTAGAATGTTTGAGGGGCATTAATACAAAAATCGTATCCGAAACAGAGTGCGGAGGGAGGATGGCATTGACGTACTTCGTTTCAACTAGTTTCAATAAAGCAATCCTACCACCAAACCACCGGATGTGTTACTAAGATCCTGATCTGTCAGTTGGGTGACTAATATAATATCCAGGGCTTCCGGTACCTTCAAGTGCAAAGAGAAGGGGAGAGAGCGGGATGATGGGGCAAGGCATATTCCTTTTACGTTTCCCTTTCCCGATCACAATATCGAGCAGGCTTTGTTCTTTTTCTTCGGCTTGGGAGGTTGAAGAACTGTGATCGCTGTATCAAAAACCGACTTCACATTCTACAGTGAAGTCGAAACAAATCCCTTCAGCATAAAGCATCTTACACTACATGAAATATATGTAAATTTTATGAAACAACAGATACCTGCTGCGACTTTGCACTGCATTCAATATAAGCAGGTGCATCAATCTGCTTCCTCAGCTCCTCTCCCTTATGGATGTAGAAAGAAAAAAGGGAAGGGAGTTAGATAATTGCAAATAATAAAATTCCATGCAAAAGGAAAACAGGTTAAAACAGAACAATATTTCAGGAAAAGCGTGGACTGATACAAAAACCGGTACCTGGGCTGTAGAAATGGGCACAGCTCCAGGATGATCATCAAGGTACTGCTTATCGTCCCGAAGATCTGGCTCAATCGGGAAATAAAAAATGAACACTAAATTGAATATATAAACACATGCAAGTGAGAATCAGTCATCAGTAGATTACTCGCAACAACTCCATACAAGTCATTTATTATTCACTAATTTGTGTAGCATAAAGAAGAATAAAACTATTCAGAAAGGTTATAAATATAATAGCCTTTCCATTGCATGGATACCTAAAATACTACTCAATCAAGGGCAGTGCATGAAAGAAATTTTAAGAAGGGTATATAACAGCCGTTATTATCCGAAAGAAAAATATTTGCAGCTGAAGTGCACTTAATGGTTAAACCTACCAAGTTTGGTTCCAACAAGAACAAGCGGAACATCAGGGGCATAATGTTTCAACCCTGGAATCCACTGAAGTGTAGCCAAGGAAATAATTGCAAGTGAACAATAAATTGAAAGCCAGTGTGCAAAGCACTTCCCTTTGGTTGAAATTTTACGGAACTGCACAACCGAACCTTTTTAGAAAGGTTTTCGTAACTGGCCTTGCTAACGAGGGAAAATGCCAATATGAACACATCTGCGCCAGGGTCTTAATCTGTTATAATCCTACTGTCCTGTTGCCAAAATTACAAACTAAAAATCACCAAATAAAACAGAAAATCTCTACAATGGTTCTAACAATGAAAGTTTAAAAGAACTGAAAAAGGTCTATGAGCAAAGTACCTGCTGTATCCCTCGACCCCAGATTAACAGTACTCCCATTAACAACAACATTTGCGCTGAAATTACCGAAAACAGTTGGCACATAATCCTGTTTTAAACCGCGATGAAAAAATGTAAGACAAAAGGTAAACACATCCTAAACACAGCAATTCACAAATAAAATCAGCTCAACAAATGCTAACAACACAACAATTGCATAAAAAACAATCTTTCATGATAGAACCCCCATTCAATCCAAAATCAGACAGCAAAACATCACCTTTCAAAACTAAATAAAGGCATACATTCTCTACCAATTCATAGAAAATTGCTCATAACCAAGAAGCAAGACGATAATTTTTCTTAAAATAAGGAGTGCAATTCAACCCTGGACATTAAATTACCCAAAAAGGGGGAAATAAAGGAAAATCTACCGTAGGGAAAGTGTTGCTGGTATAAGAAATCAGCAAACAGGTTTTACCAACGGCACCATCGCCCACAGTCACGCACTTTATAAACCTTGTAGCGCTCATTTTCTTCTTTTTTCACGGAAGAGAAAAGAGAAAGAAAAGATTAGCCTCATATTAACACATGAGACAAGTTCGAAATACCTAATAAAACCCTCAAAAGATTATTATTTTGATTCTGTATTAATAGTAGGTGTATCTATGTGATTGTTTAGTCTTTTTATTTTGGAATTATCACTTACTACACTGTTATAATCATAATTATATTACTTGATATTAAATTAAAAATCTTTTTAAGAGTATTATAGTGTTTTACGCAATTTACCTTATAATTGTTAATAAACCTACTACTATTATTATTAACCTAATATCTAGCATTAAACTTAGTATTCTATTCAAATTTTTCAAAAAAAAGTTTTGAAATTAACAGTAAACATTAGAACGTATTTTATAAATTATAATCAATATTATTCTATTTTCTTAGTACCCCTCAATTCTCTAGCGTTTTATTGGTGCATGTTCTGTCTTCTTTGGATTCCTTTTTCATAGTTCCTCATAGCTTCGGCTATATATAATTACTTGAGGTCATGTCCTTCTTTTAGAGCCCATAAGGCGTATAGGGGGAGGGCTCGACAGAGTGGTGTCAAGGAGACTAGAATTAGAGTTTGTAGGTTGAATGTAGGCACATTAAATGCTAGGCTGCTGGAGCTGACCGACGTACTAAGTAATAGGAAAATAGATTTTGCACGTATTCAAGAGACTAGGTGGAAAGGGGCTCGCGCCAGAGAGTGTAATGGGTACAAGTGGTATTCAGGCGTAGATAACACTAGAAATGGGGTGGGTATCTTGGTATCCTCTAGGCTCAAGGAAAATATAATTGAAGTTTGTAGATACCGTGATAGGATCATGATGATTAAAGTTATTATAGAAGCGGAAGTGGTGAATGTCCTTTCAGTGTACGCCTTACACGTTGGCCTAGGGGAGGAGGAGAAATGTTGCTTTTGGGATTCGTTAGATGATGTACTTAGGAGCATTCTAGAGGACCAAAGAGTTTTCATAGGGGGAGACTTCAATGGCCATATAGGTAGTGCAATCGACGGGTATGACGGTGTTCATTGGGGTTTCAATTTTAGTAGTAGGAACGAGGAGGGGAGTACGTTGCTTGATTTTGCTACTGCACACGATATGGTGGTCATTAACTATTTCTTTAACAAGAGAGAGGTGAACTTGATTACGTTCCATAGCGGGGGACATTGTACCCAAATCGACTACATCCTGGTTTGAAATCGAGATCGATGGGCTTGTATTGACTGTAAGGGTGTGTTTGGTTCACGGAATGTAAGATTACCAGTGAGAATAAAAGATTACCAGGGAATAGGATTACTGGAATGTTACATTATTGTGTTTGGTTGGTTTGGCAGGAATGTAAGATTACAGGGTTTGGTTGAAGGAAAAAAATATTACTGGAATGTATATTTTACCAAATTGTCCTTGTTCTATAGTTTTTAACAAGTGAAATTCTAAATATTTAAATAAAAATTATTTATATAAAAATTTTATTTGTTGATAATATATTACTTGAGTATTTAAATATATCATGTATTATTTTAATTTTAATTAATATTAAATTTTACATAATTTATGTAAAAATATATTAAAATTTTACATAAACATTTAACTAAATTTTTATATTGTGAAAATTCTTCATAGATATTCATAATAATAAAAAGATGTAAATGATTTTTGTTATCTAAGAATTTTCTAGTCAAGTCGAGCTCCATTTCAGAATTTTCAAGTCGAGCTCAGCAATATTCGAGCTCAACTCAGTTCGTTTACACCCCTAATATTAGTTGATAATATGGAATGGGTTTTGATGAATTCGTTTAATTGGTCCATTAATTAAGCTCAACTTTTCCATGTACGATTTTGCACCAGAGAACTTAATTTCTATAGATATTTTAACTTTGGACATCCCAAAAACTGAAATTGAGATATATAAATAATGTATTAGTTTATAATAAGGAATGATTTTTTATATATTTGTTTAATCGATTCATTAAGTAAACAAACTCAACTTTCCCCTGTTCAGTTTTGCACTAGAGACCTTATTTTCTATAGAAAAATTAACTTTGGTAATAATGGCTGATGATATGATTCTTCAACAATCATTGTAGGAAAGCAGTGCTCATGACATCCTAATGATTGAAATTGAGGTATGTTAGGATATGTTTTGCTTTAGGTGATATGAAATGCATGTGTTTGTTTTGTCTTTTTACTCGTAAACCGGTAATACCGTTTGTAGAAGTTGGTAAGTCAAGTGCAATGTTCAAATACTAGCATGTTTTCTGTAGCTTAGAGGTTACTTTCTAGTAAGATCTGTTGGTTTTAGACAAATAAATGTGGCATGTCAAGAACACTCGATCTAGTAATGTTGAGATAATGATTGTAGGCGCCATTTTAACAAAGCTAGATAGAGGTTCTAGAGATGATGCAACTTTGAGTGATAAAGAGGTATTCGGGAAGCCAATCAAACTTGCAGGATATGGAGAGCACATGGAGGACCTTAAACTTTTCTATTTAGATCAAATGGTTGGACACCTCTCGGGGATGGAATATGTTTTCTCATTGGTTGAAAAGGCACAAGAAGTTATATGCCAAGAAGATGCTGAAAAATTACAAAAGAAGATAAGGTGTACAAAGTTTCACTTCAATTATTTACTAAAGCAGACTCATGCAATTACTCGGACTAATTGACCAATGGATTAAGTACAAGATATATTCTAAAATAAAAGTAAAAGAATAATTCCATCTGCATCACAACTCATTCGATCAAATCCCATGCTATGTATTCCTTGAAATAAAACCATAATACATACTAGAATGGCTCCAATTGCACCTACATGTTGAAAACATTTATTTACTGCCTATGTCCTGAATGAAAGTATTTCAGTTTATGGGAATAAGTTAACCAATCGCAAGTCTACATATTTACTTCAGGAGAGGCAAGTTCCTTGTTCCGCCGCATCAGTCTCGAAGTAGCCTCACCTCCCTCTTCAAGAATGGAGGCAATGCAAAAGCAGCCCTATGCATCTGTCAATAGAGAATAAATATTTTATTTCTACCATAAATGGTTAGATCACAAAAGAAATTACAGTAAAAGAGATCAGACTTTGCAGACCAAGATGCTAAGCCATCGAGAAATAAAATGGACCATCACTCTAACTCGATGGGGTTCATTTCCTTCCACAAAACGAACTATAATAGCTTCAAAGAGTCGATGTTCATAATAAAAGTAAATACCAGGTACTCTGTAGAAGAGTGAAAGAGTGAAAACTGAACTTGATGGAATGAGTTCTCACCTCAGAGTTGTAAAATCTAAGTTTTCTCTTATGATGGTAAGCTCTATCTAGCTTCTCAATAGGGTTTATGGGATTCAAAAAATCAACCGGTAGTCCCTCTGTGGAGCATAACAAGAAACCAATCACACCACTGTATTGCAAAAGAAAAGGAAAACAGAAGTCAAAAGTTGGAAATGAGATAGGCTATTATTCGAAGGCAGGTCTGCAATTGGTAAATGATACCATATAAAATTACCACTGTCAAAAGCATCATTAATATCTAAAAGAGAACCAAGGGGAAACAACAGCTTAATTAAATACCCAGGATAAGTTGAAACACTTGTTCATGTTACAGAGGACACCACCAGGCCTTAATGCTTGAGCTATAGCCTCAAAAAATGGTTTTTCAACAAGCTCTTGAGCAGGACCTAAATTACAAACCGGAGGAGTAAAAGCTTAAATGATGTTGAGTCTTAAAAGCAAAAATACCATGTAAATGTTCTTTAAGAAACCATTAATGCTGAAAATAAAATTTTATCAGATCATACATTACAACGTACCTACAGGATCTGATGAATCAACAATGATCGCATCATACTTCGCTTTTGGAACATGACGAAGAAACTCAATAGCTGTTAAGATTATATGCAAGTAAAACATCAGTTTGGGAATTAAAGCATCATGCTTGACAACGATTGAAAGTCTCCACGATTGAAATACTAAATTTCGAGTACAGGAAGTTAAAACAAAAAGAGTTACGCAGGACTTGCCATTTTTAAAGTAGCAAGACTAACCAAATTGAAATGAAGTACAATACATGAAACTAGTTCTTTGATATGTTCTTCCCAACAATCTAAGCCGGGGTTATACGTAGCAGATTTCCAGGCTTACCAGGGACAGCACCTTTGATCATCACGACTCGAAGCTCATTGTCGATTTTCACAATCTTGAGCTTTCTGATCTTTCTTTTGCTTCCTCCTATTCTGTCAGGCATTTTCTTCCCCTTGTACACGCGACCAGGTGTTGTTCCAGCACCAATAGACCCCAATGCTCTGTGACTCTTAGAACTATGAGAAATTTGACCTCTTTTAAAATTATGGCGCTTTATTCCACCTGTGTAAAAATTGGGGCAAAAATCATGTCTGTTATTACATTCCACCAATGGGGAATTTGAATTGCCAAACCAATAAGACCCACATTATGGCAAAGGAAGCTAAAGCTTTCAAATAAAAACCCTAGAATTCCATATCAATATGATAAAACAATGTGAAATGAGCAAAGAACATACTTAGAAGAGAATATACCAACCAAAAACACAGAGTTCGAATAATATATGTATGTATGCATGTAACATCAATAAAAAAGAAAAAGAATACACCCATTTTTGAACTCTGCAATTTAACCAACATGAAATTGAAGTCTGTGACACCAGCATATATTCATGATGAAGCAGTGAACCACATAATTAATTCACTTCAACTTACATATAAGCATTATATGTTCATTCATCAACATCTTTAATAATGCTAAAATCAAGCAATCTACCATTAATTGATCACCTTCAAAATACAATACATAAATAAAATCTAACCTTGAAATCCTTTCCCAATAGTGGTCCCAGAGACATCAACAAGATCACCTTCCTTGAAAATCTCCTCAACAGCTAACTTCTGATCAGTCTCAAACTCCTCCACACTTTGCAACCTAAATTCCTGCAAATGCCTCATGGGAATAACACCAACTTTCCCCAAATGGCCCATCTCAGGCTTCGTCAACTTCTTGTCTCTAACTCTCCTGTACCCAACTTGAACAACATCATAGTCATCGGTATCCGATGTCTTAACTTGGGTCACTATATTTCCTTCTTTGAAACCTACGACAGTCACCGGAACAATTGTTCCATCGGTTTCAAAGTAACTCATCATTCCAAGCTTTGTGCCCATCACTCCAATGCCTGCTTCCGTACTCATTAAGACTATATGCGAAGAAGACCTCTTTTGGGTAGTTTTGAAGGCAACTGAAAACTGGGTTTTTGTGAGTTTTGAGAGAAAAGAAGATTTGAGTGTCTTTGCAAAGGGATTTTAATTTTGGGAATTCCAATTTTGAGCCATAACCAAGTCGAAGAAGAAGAAGATTTTAGCCCGAGCGAAGAGGGAGAAGGATATTTTAGACAACGAGGATGGGAATAATGAAATACCTAAGGAAGATGGAGGATAGATATTCCCGAGAAAGCAGAGTAAAAAATCATTGTTGGTCTTAATATTTTCCTGGCACTTGGTAATGTAGCTGATCCAAACGTGGGGATATTTCTCCGGGAAAAAATATTCCTCCCAGTAATGAATTATACCCTGAACCAAACGGGGCCTAAGGTATTCCCTGAAGAGGCATGTGCATCACAACACAGATTGTTGGTTTTGGTGTTTCGTGTACGCCACGGGCGGAACACTCATAGGAGGGATAAACTTGGTAAACCTAGGATCATTTGGAAGAACTTACATGGAGCGACAGCTGATGACTTTAGGAGTAAGGTTTTTTCTCATACAGGCTTTGGTACTACAAACTCAAATAATGCAGATATGTTATGAAAAAATATGGCAAATTACATCAGAGAGGTGGGTAAAAACACCATTGGGTTGTCGACATGGAAGTTCAAGGAACATAAAGAATCGTGGTGGTGGAACGAAAAAGTCCAAACTAAGGTGAAGACAAAGCAAACTTGCTTCAAGGAGTTTCTACAATGCAATGACAACGAAGAAAGATCGATAGCTAGACAAAGATACAAGGAGGCAAAGCGAGAAACCAAGAAAACAATGGCTAAAGCAAAGGATAAGGCATACGAGGAAATGTACAAGAGATTAGACACCAATGAAGGACAAAACGACATCTTCAGGCTTGCAAAATCCAGGGAGAATAGGAAAAAGGATATAGGTAGCATTAGGTTTATTAATGACAAAAATGGTATTCTTTTAGTGAAAGATCATGATATTAAGAGGGTTTGTGGTAGTTACTTCTTTGGCTTATATAATGGCGGTGCCTCTCCCTATAGAGATAGTACTGTTGATGGGTCAGCCAACCATCATACTACGGCCAATGACTGCCCTACAAGTAGGATTGGGATTGAGGAAGTCAAAATGACTCTTAGAAAGATGGGGAGGGACAAAGATGTCGGTCCAGATCAAATTCCTATCACTATGTGGTTGGCCCTAGGAGAAGAGGGAGTTAAGTGGTTGACCATCATTTTTAATATTATTTTAGAGACTGCCAAGATTCCAAAGGAGTGGAGAGAGTCTACGGTGATACCAATCTATAAGAATAAAGGAGATCTCCAATGTTGTGGTAACTACAGAGGTATTAAACTACTCAGTCATACCATGAAGCTATTGGAAAAGGTGATAGAGGCTAGGTTGAGACATGTCACTAGGGTTTCAGAAAACCAATCTGGCTTTATGCCCGGCAGGTCTACTACGGAGGCGATTCACCTACTTTGACGGCTTATGGAGAAATATAGGGAAAAAATAGAGATCTTCACATAACGTTCATTGACCTTGAGAAGGCGTATGATAGCGTTCCCAGCGATACGATCTGGAAGACCTTGGAAACGAGACGGATCCCAACTGCTTATATCCGGGTGATTCGTGATATGTAATGTAGATCTACTATATATGTCAGGACTACAGTTGGCAACACCGAGGCATTCCCGGTGGAAATCGAACTCCACCAGGGGTCATCTCTTAGCCCTTACATCTTCGTCTTAATTATGGACGACATCTATTATGTGACACCAGACGGTGTTCCATGGTGTATGCTTTTCGCTGACGACATTGTCTTTAGTTGCTGAAACAAAAACTGAGCTGAATAGTAGACTGGTGACCTGGAATACTGCTTTGCAAGAAAAAGGTCTAAGGATCAATATTGAAAAGACAGAGTATTTATGTTCAAACTTTAGTGGGAACCAAAACGATGAAGATGTGGAAGTATGCATAGAAGGACACGTTCTTCCCTCAAAGGATTATTTCAAGTACCTAGGGTCTATGATACATAAAGATGGGGGTGTAGATGATGATGTTACACACCGTATAAAGGCGGGATGGCTAAAGTGGAGAGCTGCTACTGGAGTTTTGTGTGACAAGAAGGTGCCTCTAAAACTTAAGGGAAAATTTTATAGAATGACAATAAGACCAGTGCTGCTGTATGGATCAGAATGTTGGGCAATCAGGAAGGATCACGTAAGGAAGATGAAGGTCGTAGAAATGAGAATGCTTCGAGGGACATGTGGTAGGACTTTATGGGACATGACACCAAACTCTGCAATTAGGATGTCCTTGGGAGTGGTATCTGTATCCGAAAAATTGAAGGAGGAGAGACTACAATGGTTTGGACATGTCCTTAGGCGACAACCGTCGGATGCGGTCAGGAGGGTAGAGTCGATTACAGCCGACGGTGCCAGAAGGAGAGGACGACCAAGGAGGAAGTGAGTAGACTGCTTGAGATCTGATTTGAAGGATTTAGCCCTTACCGAGGACATGACCTCTGATAGAAAAATTATGGAGACTTAAGACCAGGGTAGCCGAGTAATGTGGGTCACAACCATAGGGTGTAGCATCTCTGTCTTCTTTTTAATGCCTTTGTAGTAATTTCCATGACTTTTACTTTTTATATGTTTCTGTCATTGGAATCTATGAAGGTTTAGAACTAGGGTAGCGGAGTAGTGTTGTCTTAGTTTAGGTTTTAACCATTTGACTTTATTCCTTCTCGTAGCTTGCTATCGATGACTTCTGTGTATCCTTCTGTTCATGTTTCCTCTTTTTAAATTTAGTCGGGTCTTACGTTTCTGTCTATATGCAGAGATTTTTACGCAGGGATTTATTTGCAGGGATTACTTCCCATTACAGACGCGCATATGAAGACTGCATATGAAGACTGTTCAACTATGTATTTATTTATTTATATATCCATTGTATTTTATCTTTATTTTTAATATTTTTTGACTGTCGGAGGTCTTCAACGGAAGTTGCTCTCAACCTGGCGTTGGGGGCAGCCTACTACCCAACCTCCCCCTTACCCCATTGCATATGGGAATATGATTTTGTTGTTGTTGGAGCAAAAGTTTGTTTATGTTTTTAATTACTTAGAGCCGATTGAATCGTTCATGGAGTCAACCGATTAAAATCAACTAATTTCTTCCCCATTTTCTTCTTTCTTTTGTTAAACTACATTAGTTACTGAATTTTAAAGGTTTATTTAGTTTTGTACACTCAATTATAAAAAGTTTAAATGTTATAATTATATATTTTGATCAATGTACTTTAATTCTTTAAATCATTAATAATAAGATTCATCAAGTGATCCTAATAGTTGAGAAAAGTATTATATATATTTTTTAAATATATAAATTTTAGTAATTTTGTTCATAAGATATATATGTACGTTATCAATAATTAATAAAAATTATAAACATATAATTTCTTGTAATTATTAAAGATTATATAAAATAATACTATTAACAATATCATTTGATATTTTAATACTTAAGTGAAAGATAAATGTTTTTATCATGAATCAATTGACCTTAGTTGTTAAATGATGATTATTATTAAAGTCTTTTAGTTCAGGCATAATATTTGGAATAGTTTACCCTTATTTCAAGGTGTCCTACGATAGAACCTGGATGTCCAGCACTCCAGCTAGATTGAAGTTTGAGGGTCGCTTCTTGTCTAGGGTTCTAAACAACACCGTGGTTGAAACAGAAGAATGAAGGGCCTCTTGATGTAAAAATAACCCTATAAACACATTGGATATATATAAAAAAGAATACCATTTTCTAAAGGCAAAAGTGTTAAAACGAGAGAATTTCAAAGCATTTTCAACATCTTCCAACCCTACATTCCTACTTGAATATCATGCTCTCTCTATATACGAAAACCAGGTTGTTTATTCATGGTAGAATCGTTTTCGTCCGGTATGCTCAGGTTCTTTTCAAGGGAGAATTCTCTTCACATCATGCTCTTGTTCGATACTCTTGGCTTGGTTGTATACGGATTTGAATGCTTGCATGCATACACTTGAAAACCCTACCATTGCTTGAAACACATGAGCAAACCCCATTTGAAGGTTGTTCAATGTAATTGCCCTCGTTACACTCACCGTCTTCTCATGCTTGTTCTTTTCCTCCTCCGCCTTCGCTCTCAACAAGTCCACCTTTCTTTTCTTTTCGGCAACTGGGTCCTTGTTTGTTTCTGGCACCGAAAATGTGCTATACTTACTTTCCAGTGATCTGAGCTCTGCAGCTTTCTTCTCAAAATCTTTGAATGCAGCATCTGCCTTCTTCTTTTGCTTATACTCCTCTGCTTGCTGAACCACGATGGCATGGATTACTGTCAAGAAGCTCTTGATTCCTTCAGATGCTACCTTATCCGGAATCCTGTCTTCCGCAAGATGCCACTCTTCGCAAAAAGAGTAAATTTTCGATTCCTGGCTGTTTCTTAAAAGTGGGTTTTTGCTGAACTGGAAAAGGCTAAGCCGGAGCCAGCCAGCAAGTGACTGAATGTAGTCTCGTTGAGCCTTGACTAAGTTGCAGAAAGACAAATGCCATTGCTGGACTTCAAGCTCGAGCTGGAGAGTCGATTGCCTGTGAATCTCGGATGTCGGCTCATTAGAAGGGATGAAGTTAAGGTACTTGAGCTGCTGAACTATGTGTGTATGAACTTGGTGGATCTCATACATGCTTCTCCACATGGACATCAATCTGCATAACAAGCAAAACAATAACATTACACCATGTAGTTATAACTGCAGATCAATGAAGAACATTTATCCCAAGTTTCACACGCATCAGTCAATCTAGTCAGTCAGATAGCTAAATCCCCAGTTTTGCAAATTTCACACAATCAGGACCATAGGATTATCTTCCCTTAGAAGACACTGAAAATTAAAGGAATCGACGAAAGATTAAGGCTAACCCTACATGGAAACCCCACTAGACTATATAGGATTATGATCCATTATCACCTCAACCTCAAAAACTACACACGAGTTCAATTCGATTCGTTTCATCTTCTTTGCATTAAAAGCAAACAACGAGTGTAACGACCAGCAGTGACGAAAAGAACCAAGACTAACCCTTTTACAAGCTCAAGGAGCTGAGGATAAAGCTCTGACTCTCTTAGTTTGATGATTTCAGCAGATGTAGTTTCAATGGCTTGTGAAGCAACCATCATTTGGGACTCCAATTTCTCTACTTCTTTCTTGGTTTTCTCGGTTTTCATATAGTTAGCTCTCTTCACCTCGAGCTTCCTCAGATGAGCCACCTTCTTCTCATGCTCTATCTTTATAGCCTCCACATTCTAAAAACCAAGAGAGACCAATATAATAAAACATTTCATTTTTCTCATTTTGTATGGATTTTAATGAAGAAGATGGTATGATTAAAACTTGCATGCACTTGAATGATGAAAATACCTTGACCTCCTGGTATAATTTCTTCTCCCAAGCGTATAATCTCTCTATGGTGGAAGAATGGCTGCTGCTAAGAACACCGCCACCTGCATCTCCAACGTTATTGTTCTCCCCCAATTTTCCAATTCCTTCCATTTTTTGATTCCAATTCCATGTCCATGTTGTTGGGGTCAGATTGCAGCTATAGTTGTACACTTTGCCTGCAACAAAAAGGGATCGGAATGGTGAAATTTTGAAGGAAAATGAGATGGAAAATGAGGCAATGAGAGAGATCTATTACACCTCCTTTACTTTGAGCTGAAGAATTGGAATTTGAGACTTCTAAAAGCAGCGAGAGATGGCTACCGGCATCCGCAGCTTTGAGAAAATACTCGTCTACCTCTTTCGCAATCTCCACCAGCTCTTTACTATTCCTGGAAACGACCATAGCAAGTTCGCTCCCCGTGTCTTTCGAGAACATCCCACTCACCACAGACGGCGGCGGTGCCACGCTCGCAACGCCGGTTGTAGCAGTGACAGCCGCCTCGGATGCAGACGTGGCAGCCTCCCATTCCTCCTCCGTGAATGACCGAGACGCATTAGCCTGTGCGAACGGATCCCAGAAATCCCAGCTACTCGATGGAGGAGGAGGAGGAGGCGGGAGAGCAGGGGAGGCAGTGGTAGTACCACCAGACGTCCAAGTGTCAGAACTAAGACTCATTGGCGGCGGCGGTGGCGGCGTTTGATGCACCGGCGGTGTATGATGGTGGTGATGGAGAGTGGTTTCGTTGCTCGAAAACTGAACCAGGGCGGAGCCTGTGGCTCGCAAAGAGCGCAGATACATAGAATGTGAAGCGGCAAGAGCTTGTCTAGCTTTAACCAGTTGTTTCACGTATCTCTTCCTGGCCTTGCAACGTGAAACAATCTCTTGTCTATGAATCCTCGAGTACCAACACCCCATTTTTTATTCTTGCTTACAGATCAAAACCCTTAATTTCCTTTTCTTCTTTTGCTTCCTGCAAATTTTCACTTAACGAAACAGTGAAAAGGAAACTGCTTTACAAAAAGAAAAATGGCTTCAAGGCTTTGGTCAAAAGATCTGTCGCTTTTGCCGCAGCAGCTTTCATTAATGGCGGACTCTTCTCATCTTCAACAAACGATCTTTCACAGCAAAGAAACCTACTTTTGTTGACACTTTTACTGCTTCGAACTTGAAACTGAAAATGTCTGTACTCTGTGATTTAGGAGTTCTGAGAACAACCAGCATCGGACGAAGAGCCAAAATAAATGTTTTCTAATATTCTCGTTTATTGACGAAATTGCCCTTTCGAATTGTACTTTTTCTTCTCTAATTACTGCAACATACCACCTTGAACCTGCAGCTGGGAACCCATTTCTGATATTATTTCATATGCAGTAGAATTGGAAATTTCTGAGGGGTGTTCATGTCATTTTCTCGTTTCAACGGCCACTGGAAAGCTTGATTTGAATGGAAAAAACTAGAGAATGGCGAATTGGGATAGCTTGATTTTAAGATGACCTGATAATTCCATGATAGCGTTATTTGCACTACAAGTCCTGAAATTATACTATATATTTTCAGCTAGTCTTCAATTTTTAAAACGTTTCAATTGAATCTTTAATATATTAGTATCACATCAATTAGGTATTTTATTCATTTTAAATATTAAATTCTAACTGAAAATGACAATATTAAATATGTTTAAAATATATAAATTAATATATGAACCATACGACTCAATAGTTAAAAGAATGTGATTATCTTTTAAAATTTTGAGTTAAAACACCGTATATATATAGATATGAGAAACTAGTTAGACCACTTTAATTAGAACGTTTTTAAAATTTTAATGGAAAGCAAGCTCAAATTCAAACAGGTAAAGTATTCAGAATTCCAAAATGGTAAAATAAGAGGTCTCAAGTGATTTACCGTTTTTAGGGAAGTGGGAGAATGTCAGGGATCAGTCTCAGGAGTAGGTGTGTAAACTAACTGAGTTGAACTCGAGTATTGATGAGTTTGACTCCACTCGAAAACTCTGAAATAGAGTTCGAATCGACTCAAAAACTTTCGAGCTTAAAATTTTAAAGCTCGACTCGAACTCGAAATCTTGAACTGAAGCTCGTAAGCAGCTCGAAATGAAAAAAATCTTAAACTTAACTCGATTGAAGCTTCAAACTCAAACTCAAACTTAAACCTTAAATACATATAAATCTTATTATATTTAAAAAAATCAATACATAAATATTAATATTATTAATAATTTATTTTAAAAATAAAATAAAATCTTAATATATTATATTTTTAAGCTTCTCACGAGATTTTCGAGTCAAATATCTTGTAGTTCATTAAAAACTAGAGTCGAGCAAGAGTCTATTCAATCCGAATATTTATCGAATCTTAATCTAATCAATCTCAAATAACTCATAATTTATCTCTGTCTCATTTACAACTCTACTGATGGTAAAAGAGAATATCTACATGTCCGCTTGAGACAAAATTGCCCTTCTCTTGCTTTTAGTCTTTTACAAATACAAAAGAAAGGCAACTTGTCAGTGTAGGTGTAGTTTAATAAATAAATAGGGAAAATTACCTATTAGTCATCTAACTATTTATACAGTTTCATTTTCATCACTCAACTATTTTTTTAAAAATGATCACTAAACTTACATTTTTTTTCCGCTTTAGCCGTCCCTGTTAAAGAATAAATAGAACTACTGACATGATTTTCTTTAATGATAACATGATATTATCTTATAATGACATGTCAGTATTATAATTATAATTTTAATGGCAAGTGACTAAAATATAACAAAAATCTAAGTTTAATGATATTTAAAAAATAGTTGAGTAGTTAAAATAAAATTGCAAGAATGGTTAAGTGACTAAATAATAATTTTACCGAAATAAATAAATAAATAAATAAAAAGTACGAGGCATGCATGAGTCAGTTCCACCATCTTGGTCTTCACAGTTCACACCATTTCCGAAACCAACCTTGCTTGGGTTAACATTTCTAAATTCTAAGCGCATTCAACGACCCCACCAAACTCATCACTTGGTTCATTCTCATTTACTACAAAAATAATAATGATTAAGAAGATGATGATAGGGAGTCAATTGAAATGAATGTTAAATAATCATTATGGATCTAATCTGAAATCTTATTTTGTAACTCTAATCACTCACGTGTCAGACTCACATGATCATGAATCATCCTTATACCTTATGAAGTTGCATTGTTTTGAAAAAAAAAATATTAATATATTAAAAATTAATTTTTTATACTTTTTAATTAAATAGGGCTTTTTTTATAAAATAAAAAAGAAAATGCTATTGTCACGCCCTCAGAACCTTCAAGTCCAAACTGTCACAATATTAGAGTTAAGGTCTGACGGGACGTGCTGTTTTAGACGCTTCTTGGCACTTCTGAGTATTCTTTGTGACTAAGTAAGTCTTACCTAAGCCCAGTGAACATGCAAACTCACTAAGGTTGGAACCAAACCCTCAAGGCTTCTAGGATGCGGAAGCTTTAACACCAACGTGACCACTCCAAGCCACTAAGGTTGGATTGTGGTGTGGAAGTGCAAACACAAGTGTGGCTACTCCTAGCCACCAAGAGAATAAAGAATAAAGAACAAAAGAACTAGAGTAAATGCCTTAGAGCTTTATTACTCTCCAAAGAGAATGAATGAATATAAATGAGGAGGAGAAACTATTTATATATAGTTGAGCTCCCATTCAATCAATGACCTAGATCGATTTATATCAACGGCTAAGATATATCTAATTAATTACAAATCCCTTAAATCAAGGAAACTCAACTCAATCCTAGCTAATTACATCCATTAGTATGATTCTTTCCTTGGATAGGTGTTCACATTGGATATGGTAAGATTCCCCTATAATATCTTCTTGATTTGTAGTCTCTTGTCATATTTACCGAGTTCTTGTGATCATCTTCAAATATGATGTCACTTTATTTTTCTGCACGACCAATGTGAACGGGTTCCACAATATTCTCCAAGTGATGGGCCAAGTTTGATGGCCTTGGAAAGTTCATACTCTGCATAGAACCTCTTTTTTTAGCATACACTTGCACCAATGTCCCAAACTCAAAGATCATGGCCCGTGACATTATTATCAAAATCTGAGCCCTCAATCTAAAAGATAAAAAGAGAATTTTAATCATTTTCCTTGTTGAGATAACATTTAGGTTGTGACAACTTTAGATGAAGAGTCAAAAATGATTAATCAATGTTCAGATTTTGTGATTCTACGAGAAGAAGAGGAGTGAATTTATCAAAATAAAACATTTTAATTTTTTTATTGTAACGACACCGAACAATATATATATATATTATCAAAATCGAACACTTTTGGTAAAGAGCATCTATGTGATATGTTTTTGCCTACGTGGTAGATTATTCGGGAGATTTTTCCAATGCCGATGTAATACATGTCCAAAAAGAAATGAAAATATTAATTCAAAAGTATACGAATTTTATTAAAAAAAACGTATGTGGTACGTGTCAAAGACACGTAATTACATGAGCATGTGTCAGGCGTACAAACAACGACTATGACACGCATGGATAAGCCTTATTTTTAATTATTCAATAAGTATATGTTTAGAAGACTATATTTAAATACTTTAAAAACCTCGTATAAGTAATGTGAGATTTGAGAATATTGACAAAAAATATTTATTTTGAGTTATTAAAGATATTTTTTAAAATTGATCATATTAGTATAAGTACGACAGTTAAATATATTTTTAGGTATTGGACCCCGTGTATTTTATAAGAAAACAATTATCTTTAACTGTCGTACTAATATGAGTCAAGTCAAGTTTAAGTACTATTTTTGACAACTCAAAACAAATAAATTTTGTCATCTTTGTATATGGTTTGAAGCTTCCATGTAAGCATGCCTTTGTTAAAAGGGTGCCATTTTGGTAAAAAGATATTGTTTGGGTGCCGTTTCAATCAGAAAAGTTCAAAATGTATTATTTTGATAAAATTGTCAAGAGGGAAGAAGTGGAGAGAATAATTCCAAATCATTCTCTCAATCTTGTAAAAGGTTTTATAATGACCTTTAATGTTCGTCTCAAGCTTATAGTTATGATAGTTATTTGAAAGCTGGAAGGATGAGTAGACCTAAATGTCATTAGATCACTTAGGCATGCAGATGATAACATCATGGGATTGTAATTGGCCAAAGGATATATAGCTCCGTAGGCTTTGAGGAACATTAGAGAATGTGAAACTTTGAAAGTACAATATAGCGTGACATGTGGAGAAAGTATTATAATTGTCTCTCTTGATCGAGAAAATGCCATATAATGACATGACCTTAGACTCGTGGCAGAATACATTCCTTATCAAGCTCTGATATGAAGACCTCTTTGTAGAGCAACCATGACTTTCATCTAGAGAGCATAGTGGATGGTCTAGTTTATTTATTTCAAAGGCCCCAACTGATACTAGATTTATAATTGAGTAGATTTATCTTAATCTTTATGGTTATTAAACGAACAATTTTTAGGTTGGGCGAAATTGTATCTACGTTTTTGTATATATTTTATGAATTTTTTTATCGTTTTAGTAGAATAATATTTTACTATTTTATAATTTTACCTAAGTCCACAATTAGGGCACATTATTATTTTCGTAACATGAATATATAATTTTTAGATTAGATGTAGTTATTTCTATTCCTATACACTACGTGGAGAGCACTCAATGCTAAGTTGCAGCGTAATGGAAACATCTCGATGCTTCATAAAGGGAAAAGATAAATTCCTATACTTATGACGGGGGCTTCTCTACTCGTTTTAGAGAGATCACAATATGATCTCTTGAGTTAGTATGGGTTGGAGGCATTTCTACACCTTCAACTAGAAAGAAGATAATTTGATGCCCTTAGAGGGGTCCAGTTGACGAACGAAGACTTCTTTGCTTAAAAGAAATGAAGAAATTCAAATTTCCTCTTGTTAGGGAAAAGACAAATTTAAAATTAGACGAAGTTGTTTCCACGCCTACACATATACCCCATGAAGGACTCTCAACACTTTTGTGGAATAATTTAGGAAAGACATCTCAACGCTTGGTATAGCAAAGACATCTCGACTTTTTAAGGTTAGTGGAGAGAGAATCTATGATCTTTTAATTTAGGATGGGGCGGAGGCATCTCTGTACCTTCGGTCAGAGAGGAGGTAACTTGACGCTTTTGAAGGAGTTTGGTTGACAGGCAGAGGCATATTTGCTAAGTAATGGGGAAGTCCAGATTATCCCTTGATAAGGCAAGGCAATTTTAAATTAGGAGGAGTTGTTTCCATGCCTAAATATATACCCTGTAGGGGACTCTCAACGTGTCACCATTTGATTAGAAGAAAAATTACACATGTCCATGACACATGTCAATGACACATGTCATCATATGATTGGAGGATTAAATATATTGAATTAATATAAAATTATGACCAAATTGATCAAATGTGTAAATAATGAAGACTAATGTAGAATTATACAAATTTGGTATCTATCAGTACTTCCGTTTAATGTTAACTATATATGATTTAATTAAGATTATTTAAATATTTAAGTGGTATGATCAATAAAATTAAAAGATCAATGATGAAAATTAAAAGAGACAATAATTAAGTTGTCACGTAGGTTTACCCTTAGTTTTATAGGATGTCGTTTGACACAACAACTGTATATTTTTTTTATTTCTTTTATTATTATTAAGTTAGCCGTGGGAGTCCTTGTTTCTCAGCTGTAGGAAAGTTCACATGAGATTCCTTGAGTGATTATTTCCTTATTACAAAATTCCAAAGGAGACTTTAGATTCGGATTTGCTGTAAAATTCATATACATATGTGGAATTGCTGTTCAATATAAGAAAATAGAGAAACAACTACTTTTCAATTGCTGAGATGAAATTACTATTATTTTGATGGATGTGTAACGAATGAATACATCTTGTGAATGCATAAAGGCGTCCCCTTTTGCTACCAGAATTCGGCCAGAGGGGGTTCGGAGAACAAGTCCATCTCCAACATAAAAGAAGAGCTTAAGAAAGTAGATTAGATTAAGACAGTTAACAATAATACTAAGTTAAGGTCAGGCTCTAGGACTCAAAGAAACAGTAATGTCTTGGAAAACCTTAAGCCTCTTGTCAATCTTCTTTGGAAAGAACTTTGGGGTTTGTGGCTCATTTGTTGGGCCAAGAACTGCAGCAATAATAGCCTCTTCAAAGTCTTTGCTATCTGGTAACAAATCGGCCAATTTGTCTTCAGATGAAGGGGACAGCCTTCTGGTCTTAATCTCAGGCTTGTTGTAGTGTTCTCCCACCATTTCATTCACTCTCATAGAGTTTGCAGAGTTCCCAGACCTTGTTCTTTTAAGGGTCTCATGCAATTGATTCCCCACAACTGGCTCCTTCACACACTTAGCTGAATAGAACGGCGGTGCATCGATGTTAAAAGCAACTGTTTTTGCATTTTTCTGCTGGGGAATCACCATCTGGTTTGGGATTATATTGGAATTGATGTTCTCGTCACCAAAATCATCATGTGCCAATGATTTGACTGCTTTTTCCGTTGGCAAGCTTATAGTATCCCTGCAAGGCTGAGGCTGCCAAATCGATGAAGAACCGAGGAAGGCGTCGAAGAGTCGGCTTTGTTCGACCCGACCGACTCCCTTATTCATCATCTCAGACTCAAGGTCGCTGAGCATCTCTTGTGCCCTCTCGTAGGCCTTGAGATGTGAATCAACCCCTCTCGGTCCATCGACCACCGCTGGTTTCACTCTTCGCAAAGTTTCTTTAGCCTCACTGATTCTACCTTGCTTCATCAAACAGATACCCAGATTACACATCTTGTTATTATCTGGAGCAATCGAAAGTGCAAGTCGATAAGCATCTTCAGCTTCGATATAGTTGTTTTGCTGCATCAATGCCCATCCCAAGTTTCCCTGAAACAGTACGAAAAAGAAAACTTCCATAATTACATGAATCCATATCAAGGAACAATGATGAACAATTGAACTTTTGAAATCTTACCAGCAACCGTGTTGCTTCTTGTTCCACAGAGACCTGGAACTTCTTTCCTTGAGATCTGGCTGTTTTGGTGCGTTTCCCATTGAAAGCAAGCCCTTGTTGAATCAAATACAGCTTGTGTTTCAATAATGCTATTTGGTCATCCAATCTTCCACATCTCTGTAGAATTTATAACAGTTAACAACCAATAAAATAAATCAAGTGAAGCAACTTGATGTGATTCTTTGAATTCTTCATGTTTATTAAACATACCTTGTAGAGATCTAATAGAATGTTATCGAGAGATTCCTGGGCTTGATCTGAACATCTACTACGCAGTGACTTGATAGCTTCAATGGCTTCCTCTGCTCTATTTTGTTGCTTCATCACAATAGCCATATCTTTCAAAGCACTATCCACTCTATCCCCTGCATTAATGGCTGCCCAAAACATAGGAATCGCCCTCTCTGGATCTTTATCCACCAACTGAATCAAGAAAAAACACCCACATAATAAATACCCATCAAAGAAAAACAAACAAAAACAATTTGAAAAAAAAAATACCCAGAATGCTTACTTGAACATTCTTGGCTCTAACGTAAGGAGTGTCGCCAACTGGGACTTTTTGGATGGCATGGAAGGAATCAGAACGAGTTCTCGAAACCCCAAGAGGCTTCGCCGGAGATGTTGGGGCCGATTTAGAAGGCCTGGATCCTGGAGGAGCATTCCACAAATCCTGCATCATCTTCGAAAATTCAAAATTTTCTGCGCCTAATCCCTATTGTACTTGCTTTTTGCAGTGATTTTCAACGATGAAGAAATATTCGTGGAAAATTAAAAGGGGAAGAAGAGGATGATTTAGAGAAGTGTGAAGAGAGCGCTTTTAGAGAAGAAGAGGGTTAGGATTTTGTATAAAAATATTTGACATTTCGACCGTTGGGGTTACCGTTTTGCGCACTAGCCGTTGTGTAAGCGTGGACTCTACAATAATTTAATTGTAACGAAGCTAAAGGAATATTCCCCATTTTAACCCCTAAATATCATTATATTTAGAGTTATGACTTGTGAAAAAACTATTCTTTGCAATTATACCCTCTAACAAGTGATAGACCAAGACAATTCCAAAACCCCAAGGTGGCATAGGCATTATTATCCTTCTGTATGTACGATAATATTGTTTCTTGCAACTCTTCCCTTTTATCTTTTATAACTAGTGACAGCCTTTGGAAATTGCCATCTACACAAAATTCAAAATTTTATAGTTAAAAAATAAGCTAATGATTTGGAATCCAAAATTTAAGATTAAAATTATTTAAAATTAAATAAATATTTTTTAAAAATAAATAAATATTTTAAAAAAATTATATTCTATTATAAAGATTTTAAATTTAAATTTATTACCAATTGGGTTGGTTCAAGTGGTAAGTAATTGATATTGTTTAAGCATGTTTCAAGTTCGAGACCTTGTGTATACATAAAATCCTTGTTGGGAGACTCATCCACCAAAATCAGGTGTACGATATGAGACGGTATGAATAATAATTTTATATTTATTTAATAATTTTAAGCCTCCCTTTAGAGACAACAAAATCCTTTTTAAGGTTCCAACTTTTAGACGTGGTAGGGGTGCTCTAACCTTTCCTACACGTAGTTGACTTCGAAACTTGACCATGATTTCGATGAAGATACATATCGAACTTATGGGCATTCAGTCATATGTAGCCTAAAACGACCGATGACAACACCAATCAAATGAAGAGCTCTTCAATGACTCAACACATTCAAACCACCACAAAATAGCTTCGACATATGTAATTACGTAGATGATTATACTATTTAACTTATTATTATTATTATTATATTGCACATTAAGATCCTATTATTATTACAGATATATTAGGATTCTATAATGAAAACAATAATGTGAGGTATGTACACTTTCCCCCCTTAACATAATTTAATATATTATCATTGATAGAAATAAATTTGTTTTATCAGTTATTGGTGATTCAATCCTTCTAATTTGAATAGTGAGTTGTAATTAGTGCGAGAATAACTATTGATTAATGTTCTTCTGTGAAGGAAAGGAGAGAAGAAGTGGTATGAGAGAAACGATGAGTGATGTAGATGAAAATTTGAGAGAGGGAGGAAGAGAGAGATCCTCCTCTCAGTCAGGACTGAGAGATATTTATAATAACCATGGTTGATATTGTCAGTTATATGGTAATGATGACTATTCATAGATTGATGGACTAGATAGATTTGATAGTTAAATATCGAACTTCATCATGATAGGTCTTGTGAACCTGCTCAAAAGTTTTGTCTAAAAATCTTGTTCATACATTGAGTATTCAGAAATTTGTGTCTAGAGAACATGAATTCTTTGGAAACTCTAGTGAATAGAATTTATATATATGGAATCGTCTGAAGGGCGTTGTCGTAACCGTTTTTCGGTTGGGCCCTAAATTGGGCTTCGACTTGAAATAATTGGGTTGGGAGTCGCCACCGACCACTTTAAAACGAATTTAGGTGGGTCGGACACCATCTTACCTGATCTGTGTTTTTACCAGAAATGTGTCGGGTTCGGGAGTCGGTTACGGTCAAGGAAGGAATAGCACCCTTGAACCGCCCTTTCGGTACCAATTAATTTGTCGGTTGTCTTAAATTAAGAAAATTTTAATTTAAAATTAAAAGGTAAAAATACGATCATAATTACTTACCTTAGATAGTTTTAAAGGTGTAGCCTTAAGAAGGTCAAAAAATCATGTTAGATAAAAAGGTAAGAAATAAATAAATAAATAAATAAAATTAAAATGAAGAAAAAAACAAATTAAATAAAAGATAAGATAAAGAAAGCAAAGATAAAATAGTAAGTAAAATAAATATAAAAAAATAAAGAAAAATAAAGAAAAATAAGAAAAAAAATATAAATAAAACAAATAAGTAATAATATATATATATATATATATATATAAAATAATATATATATATATATATATAAATTAATAAAATTGATAATAAAAAAATAATATTTATATATAATCTAAAAAAAATAAAAATATATACTAAAGTAAAAAAAGAAAATGCATAAAATGTAAAAAAATATTACATGAAAAAAAGAAAAGAAAAATAACAAAACAATTAAATAAAATGAGTAACAATGGAAATGTGCGTATAAATAAAGTTAAATAAATAAAATAATAATAATTAAAACGTAAATGTAAGAGACCGAATCAAAAGTAAAAAAGATGCTACCTTTTATTTCCTTTTCGAATCGTTTACAATAGCTTTGCCTTTGTATTTTCCGTGATTTCCTTTGTATTTTGTATGTAAATCGTGTGTTACAAATGGGGAGGATTACATGTATTTATAGTGAAAAAAAACTAACTATTTTTAGAATCCTATTAACAATAGAATCCTAATGCAACTAGACTCCTTGCTCGGTTGTTGCACGTTTGTTGGTGTGGTTGTTGCTTTAAAAGATATAGTGGTGAAAGAGTCCTCTTAGGAGATGAACTCTTGCTATTTCTATCTTTTAAGAAAATGGGTGTCTACAGCTGCCCCTCTTTGTCCTTTTTCGTGGAACGAAAAATAGGACAAAGATAAAAAGACATAAATTTTCGTTCAGTGGAGTTGAAGAATAACTACCTGTCGAATTGAGTTGCGGATAACTCCTCCGTCGCGAAGTCGAGTCCATCTTGAAATGATTTGAATCAGAATGTGGCTTCTCGTTGTAGTACACTTTGGTCTTCTTCTCGGTTTAAAGACCTTGGCTAAAAATTCGACTGGAAAGTAATCCCTTGACTCCACAATATGGTTGATATGCTCTCGAGCTGAATGAAACTGAACTCGAAAAGTCTTCGTTGACAGATAGCTTTTCTCGACTTAAGCTATGCTGACGGAAAAATGCTTCTTGCTACTAAGGCACGGCTAACCCAGATCTTCTTCTCAGCTTGAAAACCTCGATTATAGCCGGACAATAGTGTGATTGAGGTGTCATCGAGCTGAATAGAATCGAACTCGACAATTTTTGTTAACAAATAGCCCTTCTTGCCTTGAGCTATGCTGTAAATTTGATTTACCTCTGAGTTGAATGTAATCGAACTCGAAGGTCTTTAGTGATAGATAACCCTTATTTGAGTTGGATATCCTTCGTCATGAAGTTGAAATCCAATATAGAGATGGATGTTGCTTGTGTGCACGATTCCCCTTCGTCGTGAAGTTGAAACCGTGGGTGGCTCATTCGTCGTGAAGTTGAGCCTGGTAATTGGATATCCTTCATCGTGAAGTTGAAATCCAAGTGGGTAGTATTGTTCCGAGTTCAATATCCTTTGTCGTGAAGTTGAAATTGGCTCTGGAACTGGGAAATTATTTGTTGACAGCCAACTTCCCCTTCGCTGTGAAGTTGAGCTTGTGTTGTCTCGAGTTCAATATCCTTCGCTGTGAAGTTGAAATTGACTCTGAATGAGACTAAAAAGTTGTTTGTTGACAATCAGTCGCCCCTTCGTTATGAAGTTGAGCTTGTGTTGTCTTGAGTCCAATATCCCTCGCTGTGAAGTTGAAATTGGCTCTGAAACTGGGAAGCCCCTTCGTCGTGAAGTTGAGCCTCAAATGGCACGATATCCTCTATCGTGGAGTTGAAATCATGGATGTATGGGTACGATATCCTCCGTCGTGGAGTTGAAATCGCGGATGGCTCCTTCGTCGTGAAGTTGAGCCTTGACTTGAATATCCTTCGTCGTGAAGTTGAAATCCAAGTATTGTATGTTGCGCGTGGACACGATTCCCTTCGCCGTGAAGTTGAAACCGTGGATGACCCCTTTATTGTGAAGTTTGGCTTCGAGTTAGATATTCTCCGTCGTGAAGTTGAAATCTACTCTCGAGCAAATTGTGTCGCTTTGAGTTCAATATCCTTCGCCGCAAAGTTGAAATTGACTCTAGCTAAAACCTGAAAAAGTTATGCATATATGTGATGCTATGGATGCAATGCTCTTAGGTGTGCCTAAAATGCATATGCAACATATGTTATCTTGGGGCTCTGGAGAGAAATCTCGATCTCCGGTTGCTTATCTGGAATCTTGATTCTTGGATCTTCAAGTTCTGATCCCTGATCTTGAATTCTTCAAATGTTTAAATCTGATGTGCACATTCTATTTTTGATTTGAGAAATGCTTCTCGACCATCTCAAGTATGTGTCTGAGCTGAGTGTAACGTTTCAGATGATGCTTCAAGAGAAGTTGTCTCGAAAGAGATAGAATTCGTTTCAAGGGAAACGATCTCAAAAATATATGTTGTTTCATGAAAACGGTCTCAAGGGAAACAAAATTTTGTTTTAAGGGAAATAAATTTGAAGATTTTGTGTTTCAAGAGAAACTGTCTCAAGGGAGACAAAATTTGTTTTAGGGGAAATAAATTCAAAGATTTTGTTTCAAGGGAAACTGTCTCAAGAGAGACGAAATTTGTTTCAAGAGAGACAAAACTTAGTTCCAAAAGAAACTGTCTCAAGGGAGATGAAATTTGTTTCAAATAAAACATATTCAAATAATTTATTTCAAGGGAAACTGTCTCAAGAGAGACAAAATTTGTTTCAAGGGAAACTGTCTCAAGAGAGACGAAATTTATTTCAAGGGAAATGTTTTCAATGTTTATGTTTCAAGAGAAACTGTCTCAAGGGAGATAAAATTTTGTTTCAAGGGAAACTATCTCAAGAGAGACAAAATTCGTTTCAAGGGAAATGTTTCAATGTTTATGTTTCAAGAGAAACTGTCTCAAGGGAGACAATATTTTGTTTCAAGGGAAACTATCTCAAGCGAGATAAAATCTTCTTTTTAAAAACAGTCTTGAGTGAAATGAAATGCCTTCTTTC